TATTACACAAGAAATCCTATATATTCAATCTGAAAAGTTAATTTCTAAGAAGAGCCAACCAACAAATTGACGTGAGCTCAAAAACTTGTACCCTTAAACTTGCAGCTACAACATTTAAAACCCAAAAGTGACAGCCATTTTTTTAAAAACTTGAATAATACGTTGGTTGTATAAATCAACTGAATAAAACCAACTATTAAAGTTTTAAGTGAGGATTCAATGTAAAATAAAAGGACTGTGAAGAAAGTCTACTCTTTACTTGTTGGTATCGTAATAACTCAAAATTAGAAATATTACTTTCGGTTTAGCCGTAGCCGTGAAACATGATCCTCTAACAAAAAGCGAAAGCATAACAGGTAAGAAAATGAGTCCATGAATAATTCCAAGAGTGATTGATAGGAACACAGTCTAGAAAAATGACAAGAGTTCAAAAGAAAAATTGAATTTTGCATAAACAAATTACTTCAGAATTTAAGAAATTATTTTTTTGGAATTTAAGGCAACTTTGTATGGTAGAATAGCAAAGTGAAATGACCTACCTTGAAAAATGTAACAATCATGTAGGCTGGGATATCTGCTAAAACAATAACAGCTAAAATGGTCGATGTTGCGCCTTGTATCAGTGGCCAACTTAACGAACCAAGTGCTTTTTTAACCCGGTCCTTAGGCTTCGGTTCTTTAGAAATGACATAACCGTAGGTTATGTGGGCAGAGTAGTCAACGGAGAAACCAATGGACATTATGATTGTAATCATTGAGATAGCATCCTTAATATAACTGCTATTATAAGTTATGAATCTAGCAATTTCGCTTTACATCAGCCGGTTGAAATCGGGTTTAAGTTATTTCTATCAGCTTAAAGCAACTAACCAAATTAACGTTCCATAATGTCATTATTCCGATAACACCCAAATCAATAGAAGCTATTGCAAATGCAACCCAAAGCGAGCACATTGGTTGCGGGATCAAAAGTAAAGCTATTACAATCATCACGATTAAAGCGATCACTGTAAAACAGCTTTTATTAAATTTTTTGTTTAGTTTTGGAGATGGCAAAAAGAGCAAAAATTGCAGTGGGATAAGAAATTTGGCAATTCAAACGTCTCAAAGCTTTATACCAATATTTTGAATAGTGTTCGGGACTACTATAGCGTATTGGTCAGTAAACAGCCATAGTGGCATAAAAGTTGTTACGTTATACTTTCGATAACGTGCAGCAACTTGTCGCATTGTCGCAGTAGCATCTTCCTGCTGGTAGGTCTTCGAGATCTGGCGAAGGCCAACCAAAAAGCTGAAGTATTCAAACAATTTGTTATTAAAAACATAACAGCGCGCTAAGAGTCATTTTATGACCAGTCCAAAAACCTTACTTTATCTCTTCTTAGTAAACATAAAACAAGGAACTAAATAGATAAAAAGAAAAATTTTTTTGCAAACAGTTACTAGTGTGAAGAAAAATTGTGCAGTTACCGGAAGGACTTAATACGATTAACATCGTTCTCATCCCTTTCCCAAACGACATCTTCGCTCCAATAATCGTGTGAACGAGCTGACATAAAATGCTGCGCTAAAGCGTAAAAAGCTTGATCCGTTATATTCATGCCCAACTCTTTCTGGTAATATATCTCCATTTCTTTCAGCCAGAATTGCACACTGTCATCGCCTGAACAACAAATCCGCTGTGTTTGAGACTTCAAAACTCAATCAAGCATGCATTATATAATGAATATTCACTAACCTATAGAGTGGGCAGTATTAGCGAAATGATGAACCATAGCTTTTATGCTTGACCGTTCTTGAGGATTGCGAAGATCGGGTGAATTACTAACAACAACCTGAACACATGTAGTGCAATAATGACGCATTCAGAAAGCCTGCATCAACTTTTTTGAAATGTGTTAACACATAGTCATCCAAAAATAAGTCAAATCACCTGGAGAGGAGCTCCATAGTGCCAAAAGTACTTTTCAAGAATCCTATAGTGAGGAATTGCATAAGAATCTTCAACAAGCAAATTCACCGGTTCCAAACCTTCTTTAATCTGGGTACACCCGTAAACAGCAATCAGACAGTAGATTATAAACCATATAGCTACAAGCGCTCGTACTACAGGTTGCATCAAAATTGGAGCAAACCTATTAAATGCTCTAAGTTTACACTTAAGAAATCAGCGAAACCATAAAAAAAAAGATTTACTGAATCAAAGCGTACTACTGACCAGTTTTCAAAAAATGATTTTGCTCCAGCATCTTTCACATTTTTCTTCAAATTTTGCAGATTTGGATCTGGTCGAGAACCAAGCCAAAAAAGGCGATCCAGAAGTCGACCCGTTTTGCCAAGACCTTCTGGTACCGTTGGCTTTGCGAATATGCAGTGAAAGCCCTTTGATTCCCATTCCGTTGTGATTGAAAGCAAAGCACAAAAGAATGTTATCTAGAATTGGTAACGGAATAAAATAAAGCATTATTTGTTGCAATGACAAAAATAATCCTTGCTGAAATGTTATTAATTGAATTAAAATGAAAGGTTAAACGACGATTACCTGGTAAACAAAAGTTGCTGATATTGCAGTTGCAGTGAAAGTGCAGAATATGCGGACGGCTGGAATTCTATAAAATTTCGATTTAGAAAAAACAATGGTAGATAAGTACGTAGTAAGTAGTCATTAAAAACACTATTTATTTCAACTGCTTACAGTTCAATGACAGGCCTTTTTGTCCGTCATTAGCTCTTTAACAGAATTCTACAGCTTAAAAAGTTGCATTCAACTGATTACGCTGTCGCTGGAGAAAACTTACGATGTAATTGTGCCGACGGCGAACGAGAAAACATCGGTTAACGAAGTTATAAATATCGAGATCGCTGCATCGCTCATACATTCACCTATTCGACGCGGCACTGGATGGGCTCTGTTCGTATGACGTAAAGCAGCCACCATCAAAAACATGTTGTCTGTACCAACAGCAACCACTAAGAACGGCATTACAGCAACAATATCGTTGTAAGGTAGCCCTGAAGCATCGGAAAGGTTTCACTAGCGAGTAAAACTAGCCGCTAAACTTTGTAAAAAAAAAGTCCTTAAAATGCATTATGTTCGTTTTACGGTACCAGCAGCTGTCGTTTATACTTCTACTCAGGAACATCCCGAAGAAAATCAATAATGGAAAGGAAAGAAATTAATAAAGCCACAATAAATGCTAACCAAAAAAGTTTGCCAAACCAACGCCAGTGACGATACCCATCCCAGCATTGATAACACCAAGAATTGACAACGCAGGTTTTGACAAAACCCAGTCAATATAAAAAGTCCCGTCGATGAATACAAGAGAGCATATAACTGAAAATGCTACCAGTATGGAAAAGGCTAAAATAAAACGTGGAACCAGTGACTCAGCGTTTCGCTTTAGCTCTTCTGCAAGTGTCTGTGAGTGAAAATATGTGAACGTTATGTATGGATCCGGTGGATAGTGTTCCAAAGCGTCTTGAAGCATCTATAACATTTAGCAACTGAATTTCGAGCTGGGACAACTAGTAAATAACTCTAGGCTAAAACAGATTTTCAACGACGTATGTGTTTCAACTGATCAATTGCAAAATCAAATATTAATTGCCATCTCACTATGTCATTAAACATATTACTTTGGATGTCACACAAAGCAAAATTTATGAGAAGGTTGAGCGAATACAAACCTTCTCCCATAAGCCAGATATATAAGAAAGATTTTGAGGATGAAAAGCTAAATGATAAACCAAGAACCAGGCGTGTGCTCCCGCAATGTACATGGTATTGTTTGAACCTCGAGATATCGTTACTCCTCCCAATGCGCCGCCAATATATCCACTCCTGAAATATACCGCTTTAACCTCTGTTATTGTAACTCACTAGAGATAAAGTTTTTTCACCTTAAAACGATTTTAAACGCTGCAGAGTAATAAACCTATTAGGAGAGCTTAAATTCTTTAATATTAAAACAAGACTACCAAAAACGATGGTCTATTAGAGCTATAATGTCTTATTAATAGCATTAAACATTTCTGAAAGCTAAGCAACAATTAAGCCATGTCCCTAAAATAAAAAAGTTGAAGATTCTAAAAGAATAACTTATTACTGTGTAGTAAAGCTTTGTAAAAAAACACCGATGAATGAAATATAAGATCTGAGGAGGATAACTAACGTTGTGCCAAATCTGACGGTAGGAAACGTAACGTTGATGCCGTGTTCATACAGATCGTTGACAATATGAACATGCTTATTTCCTGGGCATCCAGACGCACGCCATTCCAAGCATAGATTTTCATAGCCATATACCTCACCCTCATACTCAATTTTAACTCGCTTTTGGATAAACATATCAAGACGACGGACGGCCTCAGAATACGGCTTTTGTAGAATATTGCCATTGTTTTTTGCAACAGCGATAACCTTCAAGGAGAAAACAACAATAAGCCATTGAACAGCATAATTTTTTAACATGTTTCAATTAAGGCAATGAGCATTTGATAAATGCGATTAATGAGAAAAATGTCAATCAGCACTACAGTTGACATACTTGAACTTCACGAGACTGTGTTACTGCTCTTCCTGGTATATAGTTATGTCGATGCAATGGCCATAAATCGTGAATAATTTGGCGCTCAGTTTTACTTGGTGCATCTGATGGTGTAAATAGATAAACAGCATCGGTTAGTGGATCCAAATGCAAAAGACCAACTGCACAAAAAGCTGTCACCAACAGTGGTATGGCAACAAACGGTAATGGATGTAATGCAACAAAATGTCCATACCGGTAAAAAGTTTTTGAGAGTGGCCGCTCAATACAATCAGAAGTGAGCATAACACTACTGTAAGTAATAAATTTAGTTTATTTGATAGCTGTAAACCGTTTAATGCTTAATTATTACGTTTATTTTATGGTAAATAAATAATATTTAAATAATTTAACAGAAAAAAATAAAGTAGGAAAAAGTTTTAGCTGCTTTTTAAACTAGCAAAACGCACAATTACATAGAGAAAATAAAAATGGAAAAGAAATTAAAATGCAAAACGAAGAAGAAAAATTTTTTTAAACCAGTCACATAGAATCAGTGTGATATAAATATACCAAAATAACGGATATAAAAAGCAAAAAAAAAAAAAAGAAAAAACAAAAACTAAATAAATAAAAAACAGTTTTCTTTTTTAAAAACAACAGACATGATTCATTGAAGATCAGTTCTTAGACTTATCATCAAAACCGGCAGTCATGTTGGCTATTTTATCGACATCTGTTGTATGTCGACTGAAAAAAAAAAAAAAAAA